CTGAGCCATCCTGCTACCTGTTGGCAGCTCAGCGGCTGCTCAGCTCGGGCTGGACTTGAACCGCTGTTGCTCAGAGCTCAAACTCTTGAGCAAGCTCTTAACCAACTGAGCCACTCGGCCGGCCCCTCAAATAATAAGCGTTTAAATCCATGGTACTAGCCTTTTGTAACTGATTTCTAGTGACAATGGAGTGATCAATTTTGTAATCATAATAACTCTTGCATTTGTTTGTTTCTTAGAGGGTTAAAGACATTTAAGAAAATCTTATATATCAGACAGGTTTTAATTAAATGCTTAAATTAGTTTCAGTCTGAACAATGTTTAATGTTCGAAAAAATTTAGTGTATTAAAATCCATAGTTTTCATGTAGTATCTGTGCAAGTAGTATGTAAATAGAGGAATGTGGCTTAATGCTTAAATGTAATTTTTTTATACATTCATAAGGGTAACAAGCTTTCTATTAGACAGAAATGCCTGAAAGTCCTTTAAACAATGGTAGGAGAGAACTGAGGACAGAGTTAAGGGCCCACTAGCATAGTGGATTACTTTTCTCTTTCGAGGCTCATCCTCTTCACCCTGTTCATCTCTAACAGTTAGCTCTGCAATGTTACAGTGGACAGAGAGCCCGAAGCAATGGGGTACAGGAGGGTTTTGACGAGATGAGGCAAGGGGAAAGTCCAGCACAGGGGACCAGCGGTCATACCCAGCCAAGGGGGGACTGATGAGTGGTCCTTGGTAGCCAGGGAACAGTGTGAGCACAGAAAAGGGATATGGAGAAAGGAGTCAGAGGAACAGTGGGAAAGGTGCTAAAGAAAACAGCTCCCACTCCATCAGTCATGACCGCCATCCTGAGGCCAAGGAGGACTGAGTGGTCTCGAAATTATTTCATTACTTCCACCACCTTTCCGCAGTGGGGCTGGCTTAGGTGGAGACCCTCTGAGACCAAAAATCATTTCTCATCAGCCTAGCCACTCCTGTAGAACAGACAAGGCTACAGCACCAGCTTTGCTACCTACCACCATGGGATAAACCATATCCACTCCGGTGGTCTCTGTGGGGCCAACAACAACCCCTAGAACAGCCATTGCTACTAACTGAGAGTGGGAAGATGGTCACTCCTACCCTGGCCACAGCCATGTCTTTGAGACCCGAAGCTCCTATTCTCCTCCTATTCCCACCCTAGACTGTACAGGCCTCTGTAAGTGGATAAAACTAGAAACCCTGGTGTGTAGCCGATACTCCTGAGGGCTTGTGTGGTTACTCACATATGTGACAATATGGGTTAATAAAGGTGGTTGTCTCCTGGCTGTCTTACTAGTTTCCTGACAATGACAGGAGAATGCTGACCTGGAGAGAGAGAGAGGAAAAAGACAACAGATACATTCTTTCAACTGAATAATAAGAGGAACGCAGGAGGTAGGCATTTGGTCTAGAGAGAGAGACAAAACCAAAACCCAACTGCTGGTTTTCAGGTGACATGAAAAGAGGGGTGCAAATGGACTTGCCAGAGGAAGGACTCCAGGTGGTGATTAAGCTGTCAGGGACGGAGCATCTCACCTTCACCTGCCCTGTGCAGATCGCTCACCCATGCTTGCAGCCTCCAAATTGTATGAGAACCAAGGTCCACCTATTACTGTCTGAGTGACTTTAGGCCAGTTACCTAACCTTGCTAAGCCTGAGTTTCTTTACTTGTAAAATGGAAATAATAAAAGTACATCCTAAAATTGTTCTGAGAATTCAAATAATACACTGTAATACACTTCATTCATGGTAAATATATGATGAAGGAAGATATTATTATCACCCGAGTGTCTAAGTGAAAACCATCTAAGTGAATACTGTTTAAAGAAGGAAATATTTAAATGAGAAGTGAGCACTCCCTTCTTGACCTTGGAATAATTCTCTTGAGTGTGATCCCCAGTTGGAAGCATCACACCAACTCCAACAACCAACTACAGTCACTCCATCAGACCAACCTCCAACTGTGGGGCTGAAAACTGTCTTTCCGTGTGGTCCCACCAGCACTGCCTCACTGGGATTATAGCTGGCACTATAATCAATCTGTTACAATTGCTCAGTTTTTCAGTCTCTAATGCACTTCATCGTTATCTTTTTTTAAAGATTTTATTGGGGAATTGAGGAAGGGAAACAGCCAAGCTGTCCTTCAATCTTAGTTGTGGAGGGCGCAGCTAGATCAGCTTCAAGTCCAGTCACCATCCAGCCCTCCGTCGGCAGCTCATGGCCGCTCAGCTCAAGGTGCCGTGTTCAATCATCTCAGGTGCAGTGTGGGGGGGGCAGCCCACCATCTCATGCAGGAGTCGAACAGGCAACCTTGTTGTTAGGAGAAAACGCTGTCACCAGTTGAGCCATCCTGGCACCTGTTGGCAGCTCAGCAGCAGCTCAGCAGCAGCTCAGCGACTCAGCAGCTCAGTGATCCTGTTGCTCAGAACTTGCACTCTTAACCAACCAAGCCACTTGGCCGGCCCCCATTGTTATCTTTGTTTTAAAGATTTTATTGGGGAATTGGGAGAGGGGAACAGTGCTGGGGAATCGGGGAAGGGGAACAGACAAGTTGCTGTCCTTTTGTTCTTCAGTCTAGTTGTGGAGGATGACGTTTCACTGGCCCATGTTGGTATTGTGATCATTGTACTCTTCCCAGCTGAGGCTGTCGGTCACCAGCCATTGGACGGCCACTCACAGTGGCTCACGCCGGCTGCTGGCAGCTCACGCTGGCTGCCAGCCCCTCACGGTAGCTCATGGCAGCCCACTGCAGCCTGACTGCAGCCTTCACTGTCACTGGCAACTCACACAGCCCAGCTCCAGGTTGAGCTGTTGTTCACCATCTTAGCTGTAGAGGGCGCAGTGTCACTGGCCACCATGTGGNTGTGTGTGTGTGTGTGTGTGTGTGTGTGTGTGTGTGTGTGTGTATGCTCACACATGAGTGTTGCAAAAACTGACTTACGGGCTGTCAAGTAACTCTCCTTGGGGTAGGAAAGCTCCAGGGTCAGCTGGCTGGAGCCCCAGAGGCTTCTCCTGGGCCAGGATGTCCCGGATGGAGCGACAGGGCATCTTTCCAGAGCTGCCACAGGGCTTGGCACCAGCTGAGGGATCTGGTTGGGGAGAGCCATCGGGACCTCCACTCAGTGTCGAGGAGGAAACAGAAATGCAAGGGTGACCAGAAGAGCTGGACTTGCTGCCACAGGGATGAAGGATGATTTTGCCAGTAGATTGGGAACTGGAGCTGCCACTGAAAGAGCCAGTGCCTGCTGAGGAGCAGGGCCCCTGGGAAACACTGCCACAGGGATGGTAGGGTGAACCAGAACTGCTGGAAACACTAGAACTGCTGTGGACTCCAGAACCGGAGAGAGAGCAAGGCCCCTTAGGGCCTGTGGAGCCAACTCCACAGGGCTGGACTCCACCAGAGCCCACTGGCTGGAATACGATGGCTGAGGAAGCTCCCGACTGGTAGATGCTGGAACTGGAAGAGCTGTGGCTGGGGATGATGGGGTTGCTAGAAAAGTATTTTCCCTCAGAGATGGGGGGCCCAGCTGCAAAGGAAGGGACCCCTGGAGAGCCTCTGACAGGGTTATCTTTGGTGAAGTATCCCACAGGGTAGATTTTGCCCCCACTGTAGGTCATGCCTGGGGCCAGATAACTGTTAGAAGAGCCACCCACCACCTCATAGCTGCCATAGGATTTGTCCACAGAGGTGATGGGGGGGCAGGGCTTTCCTGGAAGGCCACCATTGCTACAGGGGCCACCTTGAACCACTCCGGGGCCACCAGAGCCATGCTGCTCCACCACGACCACCACCGGCCTTTGACCCCCTGACACGGAGTGGGAGCTGGAGATGTAGGAGCCAGAGTGCGAGACGATAGGCCCCCCGCTGCAGGGAGAGTCAGGAATATCCGAACTACAGGGGTGTAAGTTAGAGTTGACCCTTTGGCCCCCACTGCTGGACCAGGAAGTTTGGGAGCCAGAAGAGCTTGAGCCTCCTCCAGACTGGGAAGAGCTTATTATGAAGTGGGAGGAACCATCATTGGCTGGTAGGGCTGGGCCAGGCCCTGAGTGGGAGCTGCTGCTGCCCCACTGTGAGGAGCTGGCTGCACCATGCAGACTAGAGCCAGACCCAGAGGAGAAGCTGCTCTGGGAATACCCTGCCCCTGGCTTAAATAGCAACGGTCCTGAAGAGCCAACGTGGGTGACACTGGAGCTGCTGGAGCCACCACTGGAACCACTGGGACCACTAGAGCCACTGCTGGAGCCACCACTGGAGCCACTGGGACTACTAGAGCCACCGCTGGAACCACCGCTGGAGCCACTGGAACTGGAAATGTAACTGCTAGAGCCACCACTGGAACCACTGGAACCACTGGAACCACTAAAGCCACTGCTGGAGCCACCACTGGAGCCACTGGGACCACTAGAGCCACCGCTGGAACCACCGCTGGAACCACTGGAACTGGAAATGGAACTGCTGGAACTGCTGGAACTGCTGGAGCTGCCGTGGCTACTGAAGCTACTGGGGTCACCCTTCCCAAAGTGACAGGGGTCGTTGGGAGAGGTGATACGTGTGGGGTCCTTGCAGGGGTCTGAGAAGGTCCCGATGCTCTTAGCCAAGGTCCCTGGGGAGGAAAGTCATGGTTAGTAAGGGCCCAGAGGCCTGGGTTTCTCCCTCACCTTTCAGGCCCATCTCGGTCACCTGCCACCCTGATTTTTCCCAAGAGGAGCCCAGGGAGAGTTTGGGTTGGAAAAGGGAGGGAGACTGGCTGTTGTCGCTAAAGGAAAGGGAGATGGCAGGATAAGGGCAGTTTCGTTGTTCTGGGAAAGGGGCAGGGAGGGGGGCCAAACATCTACCAGGAAAGAAAACGAGACTCCCAAGTTGGAGGCCTGGAAGGAAGGCAAGAGGGAGGGAGGAGAAGCAGGACAAATGGTCTACAAGGACAGCCCCAGGGAGACAGCGAGGGAGCCGACTGAGACTCTGAGAAGCCGGGCATAGATCCCCGGGGAAGAAACCCGGGCAAGACCATGGGGCCAAACAGAAGGAGACACAAAACAAAACAATAGAATGCCGAGAAAGGAAGGACAAATAGCAAAAGAGACACTGAGAATATATACAAGGCCGGTGAAAAGGAGACTAAAGTAGAGGACAGGGCACTTGAGAACTATGATTCGGTCACCAGCTTCCTTGTGAGAGGCCAGGCTTGGGTGAAGGATGGAGCTCTATCTGTTCCCATCTCATTGCTGCCCATGCAGGAGAGCTGGGTGGGGGCCAGGATGTGGGGGCACCCACTGTTGCTTCAGAACCTGCTGGTACAGCGTGACAGGACACCGCACCCTGAGCCACCCTGCTCTCCTGGCCCATCCCAGGGACACCAGGATGAAACCCTCATGCAAGGCTCACGACCATCATCAGCTTCTCTCTCTCTCTCCACCCAGCCATCACGTAAGCACCTATCTACCTCGCCCCCAGGTTGCTCCTGCCTGTATCTCCCTCACAGGCATAGAACCACCTGTTTCCTTGACTGAACCTTTGTTCCTAACTCCAGGCTCACCTACCTCCATCCCTCCTCTGTTGCCCCTCTCAATCTTTTCTTGTCCTAAGTGGCATGGACAGAGCCGCGTATTAGAAGTTACAAAACCTCTCTGAGCTTCAGTTTATACATTTGGGGAGTCTAAATCTGCCCTCCATCCTCACAGCATTACTATGAGCACTAAATGTGATTGTCTGTGTGGAGGGGGCTTTTGAAAAACAAAGCATTAGACATTATGCTTTATGATTGCCACGCCTCCTGAACCCTCCACCAACAATCAGGTCTCCACAATCTGTGATGTCCCCATTCTCTCCTCAAAATAGTTCTCTTCAGCCCCCTCCACAACAAACCCCAGCTCTTCCCGCAGCCCCCTTCACCCAGCTGCACTAATCACCCACCTTCTGGTCCCCCCCCCCTCTGCTGCCGAACGCCACCCGGCCTGCTCCCACCCGCAGGGTCATGGGCAAGGTCACCGTGACTATCTAGTCAACAGCTCAGCCTGGGGTTTGGATCCGGCTTTGCTGCTTTCTGGTTTGTGCTCTCAGCCAGTTTCCTAACCTCCCTGAGCCTCAGCATCCTCATGTGCAGAGTGGGGTAACAAATCTCTCTTACAGCTCCGCTAATGACCAAAGTGCTGATGTATTTAAAGCGCCAGAACAGTGTCAGGCACATAAAAAGGACTCTTTAAATGGTAGCAGTTATTATGGCTATTAAATATCCAGTCTTTGTCTTCTAGAACTCTAAAAACAACAACCAACTTGTATACAACCCTCTAGAATTTCCAAAGCACTGTCACATACATTATTTAACGTGAGACTGACAGGCTAAAGCTAGGTGTTATCATTAACCCTATTTTAGAGTTTCAGAAGCTGAGGCTCAGAAAGCTGAAGTAATTCACCCGGGTGACAAGGCAGCGAGGAGCAGCCCCCACTTGCCAGNTGAGCCCACAAGCTTGAGAGAATGAGCTTGGGCTTGTGGAAGAAACAGATGCTGAAACAGAACCACAGAACCAGGACAGGGAGAAACTGTGAGTCCAAGATGGGAAGGAATTGGAGGAGGAGGTTGAGGTGATAGAGAAGCAGTACTGGTTGCTGATGAGAAGGGGTCCCAAAAAGGGATTCTCAGAGCAGGATGGAGCCTGATGGCAGACACTGGGACAGGAGTATTTTCTCTGAGAACACATACTTCATACTGGGCAGGTGGTTTCGCATCCCTCCAGTTCTGGTGTTTATCCTCCTCCTCCTTCCTCCCCGACAACCCGCCCAGTTCCCAGGACCCCAGGAGATCCCCAGGCTGTACAGACGGTACATACACCTGGACTACTTCAGTGAAGTACACGCACTGCACAGGGGAAAGCAACGGGGCCACCAGACGCTCACCCTTCGGGAAACCCCATCACCCCCAGCAGCTCCTGCTAATTCCCTCTGAGCTTCTGAGAATAACCCTCCCCTGCCTCACTCCCACATCTGTACAAAAATGCTGAGCTCCTGGGAATACCAAAGGGAGGCACAGAGACAACAGTGTGACCAAATGAAGAGTGTCATCACTTGGGAATTAAACCACCAAATGCAATCGCAGGTAGAGCTGTTGGCTCTAAGGTTTCTCTCTCCCTTTCCTTTCTTCCTTTATGGAGGTCTGCTATTTATTCAGCAAACGTTCAAAGTCTGTGGTTGTCTGGGACACAATGTCCCAAGTGATGCATGTAAGGGAGGAGATCAATGCATCTTTGGCTTCCAAGAAGCTTTGCTTCCTGGGGAAGAAAAGACAAGTGCACACAAAAGACTTTCCCTGACTCTTTCTCTGTAAATCAAAGGGTACATGCTCCCCACTTGGCCCTGGTGCCAACTTCCTGGACCTCACCTTTCCCTCTTGCCACAGGTGCCATCTCAATTAGGCCTCCTGCCCTCTTTCCCTTGTCAGATTCTAGGACAGTTCTAGAACCAGTTTTCCCACCTGGTCAAGTGAGACCATGAGACTCCGCCTCTAAACACCTGGACTTCCATCTTTTGCAAAAGATGGGGACAGCAAGAGAGGTCTGGGGGTCCCTAGAGAGACTTGGGGATAGCTAGGAAGTGGGATGGACAAAACTCATTTCAGTTTGCACCCAGAAGCAAAGACACTGAAAGGAGCAGCTTCAATAACTCCTTGTGTTTTATTGGCTCTGCATGGGGGGAGCAGGGGAGGCAGTGAGAAGAGTAGATGGTGCTGGGAGACACGCTGACTGGGCCTTCATTTAGCTCACATGGCAAGGGGGGAGAGCAGGACTTCCAGCATAAGGTTTCCCCTCTGTCACTCTCCTAACCCCACTGTGACCCAGCGTTCTGAGGACTGGAGAAATGAGCTGGGCTGTTCCAAAGAGCGCCAGGAGGGTGGAGGACTCTGGGAGGAAATTGATTATTAATACCTGGGTGTAGATGAATATTCCCCCACCTAGTGCCCGGATACCAATTACTATTTCCCCAACTGGTACCTGGATACTGATTAATGTTCCCCCAGCTGGTACCTGGATACCGATTAATATTTCCCCAGCTGGCACCTGGGTATCGATTATTGATACCCCAGATTCCCACAGGGTGTGGCATGGGCCTTGTTCCCCACCCAGTTCCAGGACCTCCACCTCCCCAGGACACACTGGGACTCAGGGTCCCCCAGGGGTGACCTGGCCGAAGTGACTGTTGAATCCTGTTGATGAGAGACCAGGGTGGGCGTTGGGCAAGGCTCTCTCCCTGGGTTCCCAGCACGTTAGAACGGGGTGGCTGTCTAGACTGAGGGTCCCGGTGGAAGAGTGAAGCCTCGGGTGACGGGCCTGCAGAGTGTGCAGAGGACCCTGCAGGCAAAAAACCTTCCCCCAGAGGGAGGGCAACAGCACGGGACAAGAAAGACAGTTCTTCGGGCAGCACTTCCCCCACGTGGTCCTCTGCCCCAGCAGCTGTCATCTGCCAAGGATCCTCAGAGGGCCAGGAATCCACGGAGGGCAGCCCCTCAGAAGGGGGCCACCCCTGAAACCCAGAACCTCCTGCTGGTTGGGAGCCATCTGATGGGGAAGTATTGGGCTTCAGAAGAACCCTTGCTAAATCATTATCCCCAGGGCCTGGTTTGGACCGACGATGTTCGGAGTTGGAAGGGCCGGTCAAGGAAGGCTGTCCAAGCAGAGGCAAGTTGGTCCCCAAATCTTGAGGAACTTTATCCTCCACCACACCGATGCTCCGGGCAAAGAGGCCTTAGGGAAAGGGAGGGGAGGCAGTCAGTGGACCCAATGCTCTCCTTCACTGATTTCCTGATTCACTTCGCTTTGAGTCCCTTCACTTCCTCCAAACCAACTCTTACATCCCCCAGAGACCCAAGTGTATGCCGTCCTGCCTTTACCCCGTCCCGTAATTCCAGTTCCCCGGGGCCCCCAGACCCCTCCTGCCCAACACAACCTCCATACCTGAAAGATGAAGGCAGACCAGGAGCAGGCCCAGAGGAGCCCGGCTTCCCGCCACGCAGCCCTGCATCTTCCTCAGCTCTAGCATCTCCCTGAGCCCCGAGACAGCCAGCCCTTTATCCTGGTAGTGGGGTGGGGGCAGCAGGAACAGGCTGGGCCAGTGGTTGTGGAGACAATAAATCTCTACATTCCACCCTCATTCCTAATGTGGTCTGTGGCAACAGGTGCCACTTGAATGTGCCAGGGAAGCTGGGTGTTCCCGCCGGGCTCCTTTCCTCAAGCTCCCCGCCCCTACCTGACCCAGGTGTCCTTGCTCACAGCTCATCACTCGTTGCCAGCCCTATCATTCCCTGGCTCCCTGCACCAAGCCCACCGGGACCTTCACCCTTGGAGTCCCAATCTCTTCATTGTCTTCTCATAATAAAACACTTGGTTCTCTTCTCTTTCTCTTTGGGATTCAGATCATTCTTTCCCAGCAACCCTTTCTCATGCATCCACATAGGCCGTTTGCCTTGATCTCAACCTGCAGGAGGTTCTGGGGTACAGAAGTAGCTCCCATTTGAGGGGCTGTGCCAGATGAGGCCCTGTATCTAGGGCAACAGACTGGTTCTCATCCTCAAAAGAAAATGGTGCACTGATTTCCTATTGCTGCTATAACAAAAAGCCACAAACTTAATGACTTACAACAGCACAAATTTATTATCTTACAATTTTGAAGGTCAGAAGTTTGGCACCTGTCTCATTGGGTTAAAATCAAGGTGTCAGCGTGGCTGGTTTCCTTTCTGGAGACCCGAGAGGAGAATCCATTCACTTGTGTTTTCCAGCTTTTTAATTTTATTTTATTATTATTTTT